TATCTGTAGATATTTGAGGACAGTTAAATTGATATAAAACATACAAGATGATGGAATAAAAGAGTTTCAAATTGTTGGTGCTTCGCCTGAATTACTCGTCAAAGCGGAAAATGATATTATCTATACTCATCAAATTTCTGGGAACCAGAGAACTCGGGAAGATTTGTTTATTGATTTTCTTAATTATTATTTTATAAATATTTATAGTTATATATATAATTACCTTCTCAAAATAACAATTATTATTTAAAAAGAGACAATTAAAAGAAAGAACGGAACATGTAAGTAGACTTGGGAAGAAATGATGCTAATCGGGTATGTGAATCCGAGTCGGTCAAGTAGATTCATTGATGCGAATAGAGAGATATAGTCACATCATACATATAGTTAATCAAATATCTAATAAATTATACAAAACAAGATTTGATGCATTTAGATCGTCAATATTTCTAGCTGACACAATTTCTGGAATACCAAAAGTTCGATGTACAATGGTTTTTAAAAACTAGTTATTAATTTATTAAATTTATTTAGTCGCCTATCCTAATAGGATTTTGTAATTTTTTTTTTTTAATTTATCAAAGTAATTTATTGAATTTTTTCCAAAAAAAAAAAATATATTCATTTTATTGGATATTTAATGAAATTGATAAAAAAAAATAAATACTTTCCCAAAAAAAAGGTTCTTATTGTTCTTATTAAATGTAATAATTAATTTACTAATATTAACTAATTATCATCGGCATTATCATTATCATCGCCATTAGTAAGTGACTCTACAATAAGATTAGCACTTGGCCAAATACCATTTTCATTTTTTATAGTTTTACATTTATCTACATGATACTCAGTTCTTGGATATGGCGAAATTAACAAGAAATCAAATTTATGGGTATAATCATCAGGTGGAAATTGTAAATTTGACGACGATGATGAATGATCTTCACGAAGAAAATATGTATCAACAAACACATACATCATCTATTATTAATAAATATATATATTAATAGTGGTCAATCAAGTAATGTCAAGTTTTATATTCTCTCCAAAAAATAAGCAAACCTCAACAGTATCATCTGGCTTAAATCGTCTAACAACTCTTTCACCATTAGCAAGTCTAAAACTTAATTTTGCTACATTTTTATCAGATTCGGGTGGCTCATCCGGCAAAGCTGATAATGCCCAACGTCTCCATTTCAATTTTTTTTCTTCAGTTAATTTTCGTTGTATTTTTTCTTTTTTTGCATTTTCTTCAGCTAATCGTTTAGCCTCAGCCAATTCATGAGCTTTACGTTCTTTTTCTTGATCAGCTAATAATGAAGCTTGATAAGCCATATCTTGTTGATCCCGTATTTGACGTGCAGCTTCACGTTCTGCTCGTTCATTACGCATTCTTCTCAGACTCATTTCATGACGATTTACTTGATTTGTTAATCGTGTTACAATATTCTCTGTTGTTGTAAATCCTATTATAATCAGAAGGAAACAAGAAAGAAATTAGTTTAGTTGTTGATTTTTAAAATCCTTTATTGCAAAGATTTAGTTAACAAATTAATTAATTAATTAATTGGGCAGTGATTAAAACAACCTTCAATACGATCAACCACCGTCATTTTTTGGCTCGATCCTGAGCTACCATTTGGTGGCTGCAGTACAATGAATGCTATAAATGGATATGTTGTTGCCTGTAATGTAATACTCGCTAATATTCAAGATAATAATAACATTGTTATTGTTGTGAATATAGATATTGATATTGCTAATATAGAAATGTAAAATATATAAATGCGCACGCATACAATATATACATATATATGATATTTATAATCATATACATACCTTGAAATGCCTCAGGATCTTTCACATTACCAATCCATACCAAAATTTGATTTTCCCGTAAAAATGTCGCCAATAATTCAGATGTCAATGTCTCGCTTTATTATTATCATCATCATCATCACCATCATTAGCAATTTTTTTTTTTTTTAATTAATTAATTATAATGTATAAAAAATTATTTGAAATCTTTTTTACCGATTAAATTTATCAGTGTTGTCATGTTCATCAGTTTCAAGTATTACCATCAAGAAATGAACATCATTTTTCGCTTGATCAAACGCCTAATACGTAATATTATTAAATTATATCACCCATAAAATAAAAGAGAAAAAATGTTTAAAAATAATTCCATTCACTTTTTACCTGCGAAAAACTTCCTTGAAAGAAATCAGGATGTACATCACCATAATTTGTTTCAAATTTACGTATGACTTGTGCAGTTAATTGTGAATCTCTTAAACGAGTTGCAGTTGGATCAGTGATAACAGGTCTTGGAATTATTAATTGTAACACGACTTGGAGAACACTCAAGAAAAAATTATAACACGCCAACACTATTTCTATTAAAATCATTTTCTAACAGCAACAACAACAACTACAACTAGTAAATAAAACAAATATTTGTATATAAATATTAAGAAGATTCGGTCACCGTCACAATTTTGACCAAACTAATAATAATAATGAAATAATTTGTAGTTGTAGATGTAATGGTTGAAGAATGATTATTATAATAATTGTAATATGAATTAATTCTTTAATTAAAATAAAGGGAGTGAGTGAGTGAATCAATTAAAATTATTATAAACTTGTGTGATTCTATAATTATTTAATTGCCAGCCGATCCCGTGAATTTGCGTAGATAAAATTATAGAGATTTAACTTTATTCGCACATAAAAAGAAGCGATTTTTGCCCCATAAAAAATGCAGATCTTTCCTTGATTCATTCATGCATAGATGGCATTTGAACATGGTGGACACTGTCCAATGTCCAACATATCAATATGCATTGGGTAATCGATGTCCAACATTGTCCAACCGATTAATTTTTCCATATTTAAGCATTTAAGTTATATAAAAGAGGTCAGAAGCTCTCCATTGAAAATCATAATGAGGGTCAAACCTGGCCAGTAAGAAACATTTCATTAATATTAACAAAATTGAGCCAATGTTCTTGATTTTGATTTACTTATTGACAATTTAATTGTAGAAGTTGACTCGGCAAATAGTTTTATTTTACTGCTAACATTTTTCGATTTGTTCAAGTTATCTTCACAGGTTACAATGAAAAGTTGATATGTAATCAACATGTGGACTTCTTTTAATTACTATTAATAAAGAATAATTTTCAAAAGCGAGACATGAAATGACTAAAGCTCTAAACAAAGAAAGATTCAGTGAGAAAGAATCTTGGAAAAATATAGTTTTCTCAATCCGTAGCAAATGTAGTATCCAGATCGCATATCAAAATCATAAAATAGTTAATTTTAAGAGAATTCAGGCCTTCTAACTGTGTAATTTCATTTTAAATCAAGTTTCTAACTTTCTTCTGATAAGCCATTGATCAATTATGGAATTAGAAATCAATGACGATGACTAATTGACTAAAGAAGATTTACCAAAAGATCTAGATCAAATTTTAATCTTTTCTGATATGGTTCAATACAATTTCTACGTTGTAGACAATGCAAAAAACATTCTATCGATGTCACTATTGATTCAAATATATATGTTTCCTATGAATTTGGAAATGGCAGCAGAATACAACGATTACAACAAATATAAGATCAATGAAGGCACTTGGGCTCTTGATACAACATAGATAGATACTTGAGAAGATAGCATGTAGGGATTCAGATCAATCAATTTAAGGATGGTAAATGTGATCGCGTGATAGTTCCTAGTTTAGTAAGAAAATCATTCGTTGAAGGTCGATTTGATCCATTTTTACGCGAGATCTAATGAAGCATTTGTAAGTTATTTTGCATGGGATTATATTATTTCATAAAGTTACTAATATTACCGTTTAATAGTTCTGTAAGGTTGGAGGCTCCAATTAATATAGACTCAAAAGCATGATCTTGAAAGAACATACCCCATTGATATATTTTTAATATACTATTTTAAATGTATCAAGATGTTCTGGAATGGAATTGGTACGTATATGGTACAGTATTAAATCAATATATCAGCCTCTGATGTATTGTATTTATATTGTTAGTTAACTCTTTTCTTTAATCTAGTATAGAATTAAACGCCCGGCACCAAATCTCATAATTTTGATGGTTTGATAGAAATTCCTGGGATAATAGATTCATTATTACGTCAATAGAGTTTTCCAAGGAAGGAACATCAACCACTAAAAAAATAGATGATAATACAAAGCTTGCTAGGAATGCAATGAGATTCGTAAATAAACTGACAGAAAAGTTTCCTGCAACATAATAAGAGTATGCACACAGTGCAATGCGCAAGTAAGTGTCATAATAAAATTATTTAGTAAAAGGTTTTGATGGTTAATGTAATTTTTTGTATGTACAGACCACTTCTGTCTATGGAACAATCAAAATTCCTACAACACTCGATGACATGGAACAATTTCCTGAAGATATAACTATTCTAATGAATTTCCAGGTAACAAACTAATAATAAATGTTTTGTACTGACGATACTTGTCTTTTATCATTAAAAGCAGATATTCTTAAAACTATAAAGAATATAAGTAAATATTCAAAAAGGTAATATCAAAAAAACTGTATATAAAACACAGTTTGAAGATACTCCAAAGTCACGACAAATAAGAGAGTTATTGACAAATAAATAATTAGAGTAAAATTTTATTGAATAAAAATATAAAAGGTTCATTTTACATGCATTTCAAGAATTGATTTGATAACTGAATCTCAAATTTCAGCTATTAAATTTTAACCCTAAAATTTTATATCATGTCTGCTTTTGTTTGTTGCATGCCCCAAATATAATGAGTTCTACCAAAATAAATACTTGTGCAATGTACCCTATTTCTACATATACAAATATATATGTTAGTATAAATAAATAAATTTGGGGTAAATTTTAATTATACTTGACAATAAATTTTTTACAGAATAAATAATTCAAATCCTACCTACAATTAATTAATAAAATTTATATAACAGCAATGAAAGTAACAAACACCAAAAGTATTCCAAGTCCACAAAAAACTCCGCTTACAAATGCGGACGGACGATTTAGAAAATCAGTACACCTACTTAATGGCAGGATCGATACAAACAAATTAAAAGAACAATTAACACAACACTTGGGAACAAATGCAGAAGCATACTGGAGTGCTTTCAAAAAATTCATAACATGTAAAATCAGACGAAAAGAATTTGAAGGAATTGTCAGAAGATTACTTGATCAGGAATATGGTAAATGTTATTTTAATGATGATTGGATTTATTTATTTTTTAATTAAAAAATATTATTGATCTTTTTGGTTTGTCAGATTCATGAAATTAAAAATTTTTTTTCTATTCAAACTTCAATAGTTGAATTGCATAATACGTTAATATATGCAATTCTTCAAAATGGTAGAGCTATCGATTCACCAGCATTACCAACACCACCAGCTGCAAATATTATTCCAACTACAACTGCAACTACAACCAATGCATTTGCTAAATCTACAACTACAGTATCATCATCATCATTAACATCGCTGGTACAACAACAGCAGCAGCAATTATTACAACAGCAGCAACAAGATCAACAATTTAATGAACAAATATCATCACAATCAACAAGAAAAAGAGTCAGAGAAGGCGAAGATGAAGATGAAACATCTGTTGAGATAAGAGAAATTGAACCAAAAAGACAAAGGATAAAGGCTTTGATTATGTCGTTGCCGAGAGAAGAAAGGGAAAGATTAAAGAATATAGGAAAGGTTGGTTATGACAATGTTTATATATTTATATGCGGTGTGTTCCTGTTTAGGATGATAATTTGTTGTTGTTGTTATCATTATAATGAATTAATTAAATTATATCAATTTTATATTCGTAAGGATGAACAAAATGAACAAAATAGAAATGGCACTTCTTCTTCCTTACCGGAACGTTTACCAAAATATAATGAAGTTGATGATAGGCCGATAATACCGGCACCACAAAGTTCGTATGATTTTCTTTATATTAATGAAAAAGTTAACTAAAAGGATTAATCAACTAATTATAATTAATTGACTATTAGCTGAAGCTGCCATAGTTCCAATGTGTCGAGAAATAAAAGGATTACCTGATCAGAGAGACTTGTATGATAAGTTGATTAATATAGCAAAAGCAAACGAACTAAAAGGAATATCGGAGGAATGCGTATCATTTATGAATTATGCCCTTGAGGTTTGTTTTTATTTTATCAATTGATAATTAATTTAGTAAATAAATTAGTAACAAGTTGTTTCAAAATTTGCAAGATAATATGATAAATTAATTATAAATTAATAATAATAATAATAATAATAATAATAATAATAATAATAATAATAATAATAATAATAATTTTTTGACTTTCTCCAATTTATAGTCACATTTAAAAAACCTCATTGGCGATTGTATACAGAAAATAAGACCAAGTGGAAGTTCATTGGGTAGAAATGGAGGTGGTGGGTTTTTGGGAAGTAGTGGTGGTGGTGGTGGCGGTGGCGGTGGTGGTGGTGGGTCATTTTACAGAAATAAATATATGGCGAGACAAGCAAGGCAAGAGAAAAACACGATAACTACTCGTGATTTGTCATTTTCGTTCGATTTGTCGCCACATATACTTGTTGAGCCAATGATGGCAAGAGAGAGATTGACGTCGGTGGTATTAAATGATAATGAGGATTATTTTGATGATGACGATGACGAAGATAATAATGGCGACGATGATGAAATGGTTTATGATGATGATGATGAAGGTGATGAAGAAGATGAGCATGATGTTAATATTATTGATGATGACAGTGGAGAGATTGCACGTGATGATAATAACAATAATACCAATACTGGAAATAATATCTTTGGGGGTCGTGTTAATGGAATATGATGAAGGTGGCGATGAAGTTGAAGAGTTGTTAAGGAGATAGTGTAGTTAGAAGAAGATTACAATATTAATAATTTAAATAATTTAAATAATAATAACGTTAGTAATAATTATTTTTTATAATTCTTTAAGATAGTAGAAATGATAAAGAAATGGAAGAGATGATAATATCAATCATATTAATAATAATAATAATTATATTTATAATACTAGTAATAATTATTTTTTATATTACTTTTAAGACTGGTGAAAGGATAAAGGAATGGAGAAGATTACAAAATAATCACAAGCGTAATAATTATAATAACCATAACGTTAATAATTTTATTATATTTTTTTTAAAATGGTAAAGACATATTGAAGAGACAACAACCATAACGATGGTGGTGGTGGTTTTATTATATTTCTCTTAAAATGGTGAAGAAGACATATTGAAGAAATGAAGATTATAAAATTAATCATATTCATTAGATGTAGAGACTTTTTATTTATAATTCCCCCAAGGTGTTGAAGAGGATGAAGGGATAATCACGACAACAAAATTAATGATGATGATGATGATGATGATAATAATAATAATAATAATAATTAATGGTAGTAATTTTCTTCCAAGATGTTGAAAAGGACGAAGAAGAAATAATAACGAAGATAATATTAATATTAATATTAATAATAATAATGTTAGTGGCGGTGGTTTTTTGTTATATAATTCTTCTCGGATAACAAAATTAATAATATTTATAGTAATCATATTAATATTAATATTAATTTTTATAATAATTTTTATTAGTAGCATCATTAATGTTTTATAATTCATGCTAATTTCTTTAATAAAAAAAATGGTATCTATCATCTTCTCAACAATTTAAATTGTGTGAAATTTGAATGATGAATATTAAAAAAAAAAAGTGCTAAATTTTTTTCTGTCAAAGTAACGTTAAATTCAATTTTTTGCACAGCATTAATAAATTAAAGATAAATTTTCTTCAGTTAGTACATTTACGAAAAAAAAAGATTGGGGAATATGAGAAAGAGATTCGTATTCATTAACAAACAAGATGAAGTAAAAAAAGTCAGTTATGTATCATCCATTTTGAAGAAATTCACTCTTAAAGAATTATGTGTGTTCAAGAGACGAGTACGCTTAAACGAACTTGAACAAGTGGAACGCGATATATTTAAATTGTATATGTAATCACGTCACTTTTGCATCGTCGTCATCGTTGTCGAAAAGTTAAATAATAATTTTATGTAAAAGTGTATACCCACTTATATCTCCAATAAAAATGTGAAAGATTATGATTATGGTAATTTTGATAAAGAATAATAATCTTTATTTTTGTAAAATTGATAAGTGATATATTAATTATATTATATTTAATTAGAATATATTAACTACAAATAAATCAAACAAATATAGATTAATTAATTAAATTTTGCCAACCCAATATCAAAAATAAATCATTATAACAAACGTGTATGATAAAATACCTTCTTGATCTTCTTCAATTGATAAAATAGAAGAATCCTTATCTAGAACTTGTACAAAATTTGTTGGAACTTTTGCAGCAAAACCTTTAAACAGTGAGTTATAAGTTTGATAAACTTTACCACCATTTTTTTCAATAATATTAATCATTTGATCTATTGTAGCATCTGGTGTATCACGCCTAAATGTTATTATGTAATTTTTCATTCCTGACAAATTTTTAATGAACAGTATTAATATTATTAATAGTGAATGAGTGAGAATATATACATTGATTACATATTTATTAAGGATTAAATAATTACCAAGACCAGTATTAGATAGTTCAACAGGATTATTATCAGCTTTATAAATTACTATAGCAAGAGCTACGAAGATAAATAAGAAAATAAACATAAATCCCCAAAGTTTTCTTGAATCTGCCATAATTTTATTTATTTATTTTATTTTTCCTCCCAAGTGCAATGAATGTATGTTTGTATATATTAATTGATTCGATGAGTAAGAAACAAAATTTATTTTTGTACGAAGGATGACGTATAAATAATATCACGTCGTCTGTACTATATACGATTATTATATTTGATTGATTTACATGTCTATTACGTCATTGATAAATAATTGACATTATACTCTTTCTATATTTACACAAGTCTTCCTGTATAGCACATGATTACATCAAGATAGCAACTATTTAAAGCTGGATTTACGAGTTTTTAAAAAAATGATAATTTTTGTTATTACTTCTTTAATATTAAAAATACAGAAATAGTAATAAACAAGTGCCAACCACACAATCTCTAACCATCACTTTATTTTATCATATCAGATCATCCCATCATTTTCACAAATCA